TGCCTGAATTCAAGGTCTCGTTCTCAAACATTGTTACTGTGAAGCGTGCTACAGAAGAGAAAGAATTGCTGCAATTTCTCGTCAATATTGGAGAAGAGAACAAGCCAAGCAAGAATTATTCCAAAATCATGGCACTACGATCTCATTTGATGGACAAGTTAATACTGCTGACAGTTACACATGACAAGACAATGATGGACGTGACTGCGGCGAGAGGAAATGGTAAACCCTTTTCGGCAATTTCGAACATTCAATTGTCTCCAAGTTGTTTTGTAAAAGCAATACATTATTATAAGGTGAACCAAGCTATCATGAACATAATTGCCAATGCACTCATTTCAGCATGGGAAAAAGACTCAACGAACTTTGTAGTAAATATTACACTTCACAATTAATGTAACCTTGGGGTGTTAGATCAATAAACAAGGCAAAGTTTTAACTGGCTGTGTTTTTATTCACTGACTGTCTCTAATTTACTACAAAGTTGGGTATATTTTGACTGCAAGTCCGCGAGTTCTTGCTGAAGTTGAGCCACAGTAGGTTTCTTGGGTTTTTAGGGGCCTTGAGCTGCTGCCGGTCTCCTTGACGTTGATCCTTGAGCGCTTGATAGCTGTCTTGATCTTGAAAGAGTTTTTATCCTTCTTCTTGGATCATTTGATCTAAAATCACACTTTGATCACAGGCAGCATTGACGATGGCTTGAGCTTCGGGTGAAGTCATTTTTGGGTAAGGTTTTATAGATTTCATTCTTTGCGGAAACGTGCCATTCTTGAGATGTTTTCTGAACCCTTTGAGGGTATGCTCTCGATACTTGATTCTAGCTTTGATCGTCATCAGTTTTTGTCGATAACCCTTCAACCTGGTCTTGGCAGGCATGGTTTTTTCGGTGGGATCATTACCAGTCTTGGTAGAAAGTGCTTCTACCGAACCACCCATAACAGACATGTTACCTCTAGGCAATCAAATGTGCAACTGATAATGAAAGACACAAATCCATCCTATTTATAGCCTGAGGTGAGGTCCAAGGTATAAGAGAAAGGTGAGTGCTATTCTATCTATCATTTATCACAAGCCATCATGTGGATAGGAGGCTATGACGACTGGACTCCCGCAGAACAGCGTGAATGGGACATTGCCTAGTCTCTATACGGCGTCTTTCCAAGCCCTCTCGGTCAATGCATTTCGGTGACGTATCCTAGACGAACGGCCGGGAGACGCCTAGACAATCTCGGAGTGCGCCTGCGTGAGCATCTTTGCATTTTTGAAAAGTTCACACGTTCAACTGAAATAATCTACAAATAACTTTGCGCGTGAATGTCCTTCGCTTAAAGATCGGCACTAACCTGGTTTCTGTTATCAAAGAACAAAAATATTCCTTTGAATCGCAAAGAATATTACTGTATAACGTGCAAGTAACTCTTTAAGTTCATTTTCAAATGAACCATTAAAATGATATTTCTTTATTGATAAAAAGATTTGAAAAAGCAGCTTGTTGATATTCAACCAAATTTAGAGACCAAATTAAACAGCCTGTCCGATTAGTTTGATAAGCTTCCAAATCCAAAAATTAAATTACATGAAATATTTCGAAGTGAAATGATAACGAGAAATTTATAGGAGCAAGCGAAAATAGAGAAACGAAAGATAGCTTTTCATTTCCAAGAATAAATATAAACTTATTTCTTTAGCTTACCTTCCGATTCTTGATCAAATAATTTTTTGCGACGCTGTTTTGCTTAGCCTACAAATAGTTTTTGAGATGAAATAAAGTTCAAATTAGTTTAATGAGATAAATGAAAAAGAAAGGCCAAATGACTTTCAACAATGAAAACGAGCATAGAATAAAAATATTCGGTTTAAGGTGATTCCCTAGTTTTGCACTGCGCATCTCTTACTGCGCATAACAAGATGGCCGCCGTAAAAAAGAGCATGTGAAGTAACATTATTAAAATGAAGTTGACTGAAGAGAAACGCTATTGGAATTTTTGCTTGCTGTTGTTTCTTGCCGAGGTGAGACTCACTGTGTTGGGAATGTGCATAACGTAAGCAGTAGGCGTGTTGCTGAGTTCGACCTCCTCTCGGAGAACCTCGATAGTGGATGTTTAACTTGTGCTTACTCTCTTTGATTTTCATTTAAACACTTTCTTTATCACATTGTGTCCTAAATGTGATATCTCCATGTCAATTCTGTAAAAACGGATTTTTTAATACTTTCTTCCCCCTTTCACATACATTCTATTTTGAAACTCGCCCCAGTCCTCTCTCAAAAGTTGGAGAAAATGAGTTTGGTGCGCACCTTCTGGGGCTCTACCGCAAAAACGAGTAGGGTGACCCCCATTTTTTATTTCATGATTTTAATAAGGACAGTGCTTCCTTTCGATGGGAAAAAAATTGGCACAAATCTATGTTCAGTTTTTTGGCCATTTTACTAAATTGTACGGATTGAGCCATCACAGGTCGAAAAGCGCGCGTCCGATTTAATTCTACTTTGGAGCGTAAA